TGGGGTTCCTCTCCCACGCCTCGTTCTTCCGGGTATCTGATCCATAACCATCCTGTGCCTCATCCTCTTCCTTGATCCACGCTTGTTCCAACGGTAAGCTAGATCCGCAATATACTTTGGCCCATCATATGGAGGCCACTCTCTAGGGTCCTGGAAAGGCACGAAGCGGGGGCTCCATGTGTGCACAAGCGTGTCGACACTGAACTCGTGAGGTATCCTGCTCTCGATATTATAGTTGCGATGCCTAGCTGCTGCCACCAAATGGGAATATAGAAAGTGGTACTGCCTTGGTTTACCACAAGTGCATTTGAAATCTTGGAGGACAACCACATGCATCCTTAACTCTTGGACCTCGCTGTCGGACGTTGTACCGCCCCTATGCTCAACCTGATAAGTCCCTATGGCGTGGTCAAAACATGTAACCTCATGTGTGCTAGCCCTTTCATTTGCCTTCTCTAGGTGTGCCTTTGGTTTCGAAGCCCATATCTCTCCATCACTACGCAACTTCAATGCATGGGCGTGTCTATCGTTGAACCAGACAACAAGCTTATAGAAGGTGAATTGAACGATTGCATTCATGGGCATACCACATATCCCCAATAGCAACTTATTGAATGACTCTGCCATGTTGCTGCATTGAAACTCGTACCTCCATCCACCGACGTCGTGAGCTCTCGTCCATTTCTCCAAATCCCTCATCAAACCTGTGAGCCATTGTCTACCTTCTGAATTTGATGCGATTCTGACCTGCTCCAACTTTTTCTAAAAGTACTTGTCCTCAAGCTGTCGAGCAGCCTCCTAGAACAAATCAAAGTTACCCTTCACACCATCCTTCCAGAGTAGATTCTCGACAAGGTGTCGAGTACACCAACGATGGTGCAAAGGTGCATACCCCTCTATCTGCTCTCGCATGGCATTAAGTATGCCCTAGTGCCTATCAGATATGACACCAACCTCCCTGCCAGGCCCAACCACGTGTATCCGGACTAGCCTTAAGAACCATCCCCAACTGTCATTGTTCTCCTTCTCAACCAAAGCAAATGCCAAAGGAACCAACATGTTGTTCACATCATAGGATATGGCTATAAGAAGTGTGCCCTAGTATTTGCCAATCAAGAACATACTATCAATGGAGAAGATGGGACGACAATGCCTAAAGGCCTCGACAAACTGAGGAAAGCACCAGAAAGCACAGAAGAATATCTGTCTCCCATCCTTCTATGCATTTGCTTTTGGGATGTACTCATAATGCATGCCTGGATTCAGCGCTTTGATTGCATTGAAAAGTACCGGCAGCTGCTCGTACCCATCCTCCCAGTTCCCATATATCATCTTCCACGCTCCCTGCTTAGCCCTCCAAGCTTTACCATAAGTTATCACATAACCTCCATAAAACGCCTCAACGGTCCTGATAATTGTCCTCACCTTCATGTTGGGTTCTCCCTATAATATTCCCATCAACCGCTTGGCAATGAGGGTAGATGTCAACTGCCGATGCCTCAGTGTCAGCTCATGGTTAGCACAATTGTGTGGCCCGACAACTTTTGTGATCTTCCATTTTCCGGTGACCTTTTGCTTCCTTGCACAAACCCTCCATAGGCAATGTTTCTTGTCACACACAATTGTGTAACGGCGCTCTGCATATGAATGTAAGACCTTGTAAGGTCTTTTTCGTATCACTACAAACGTCTGCAACCACCTCTTCAATGCAGGAAGGTCCTTGAACACCCTCCCACTCTCAATTACCATGTTAGGGCCGGCCTCAGGAGCTTCTAGGAGCTCATCATCACGTCCTTCTGCACACGTCTGATCGGAATGAGCAAGATCGCTGAACTCGTGAACTCTTGGATCACGGCGGCCGGAAAAGATACGCCTCAGCATCTCAACATCACTCTCTATCAGCTCTCCAACAGAGCGATCATCATCAGAATCAAGAGCCCTTGCCATCTCATATGGCTCCAAATCATTCATAATTTTAACACTATTGGAGCCACAGAATCCATCTCCACAGTGCACTTGCGCAACAACAGGGGGCACATCCATATTCTTAGGAATTTCTCCTACAACATAAGCAGAGAAATGAGGAAAGAATGAAAGAAATGGATGTAAGGAAGGGGGTAAGCTCCCAATAACCATGCGGTTAAGACACTTACTCGGATGATTCTGTGTCAAAGGGATCTCATGAGGAGGATCTACCATAACAACATGAATCTGACAAGCATCTTCAACTACCGCATTGGAGGCAGATTGAGCATCGAGATCTATAGGTGCAACCTCCACATCCATATCAGGTTCCGGGACGGGAGGGTCGATGTGTACCTACTGACCCATTGGTGGGGAAAACCCATGAGGGATGGGATCAACTAACACCCGACACACAACCATGTCCAAACATTGCAGCTGGCTCTTCATAGCCGATCTCACATAGTTCTCCCACTGATCCGCACACCCAATTAGGATCATTTGCCTAAGGATGCTGGGATGAGAACCTAGGTGCAGTACGCCCTCAACTGCAATGCCATCATCTCCAAGGCAATGCAGTTCCTCCCAAGCCCTTGCAACCATCTCACTAAATGAAGGCCTATCATTGAATAGCACAGGCACGCTTTGCATGTTAACAAACTCAACATATCCATAGCGATCGTATTCAATGGTGCCTCCATGATATATGGTCACTGGGTTGTCCATCTAGTTCAAACACAAAACGAAACACATATCCTTTAGTCCAAATTAGACGATAGATAGTACCTAACAAGTAATTTCTAACTACAAACTAAGTAAATAAGATAATAACTACATACATAGATACAGTGTACTAACTAAATAGCTAGATCCTATTTAGTTAACTAAATATGTAACTACCTATCTAAGTAGTTATCTAACTATATCTATGCACCTATGTATCTATGTTTCTATCTATCTATATTTTTATCTCACTAGATCACTAACTAAATCAACTACTTGAGTTATCACATTAACTAGTAAATAACAAATGTCAAACTACTACACTACAATCAAAGCTAACTAAGTACGCACATTACAAATTCACAATTTTTACCTGTCCAATAATAGAGTCGCGGACATCGACGGAGTCGCAGCGGACGCCGGGCGTGGGTCAGGCCGACGAGCCGGGCCGGTGGTGGCACTGCCAGGCATTGCAGGTGCCGGGGCTGGTGGGGGCGCGGGAAACCCGGCGCTCCGCGCGGCGAGGCTGGCTCGACGGGGGCGGGCGGCACGGCGGGTGCGCCCTAGGCCGGCGGTGGCGGGCGGCACGGTCATGGTCACGGCACCGGGGCGGCAGGCGCGGCCAAGGCGGCCGCGGGTGCGGACGGCATGTCGGGCGAGCCGCTGGCGCGGGGACCGGCGGGGGCGCGGGGCGTGGCGTAGCCGCGGTGGCGGCGCGGCGGTCCAGCGGGGGCGCGGGGTGGGCGCGGGGAACGGCGAGGGGACCGGCGCGGGCCGTGGGGCGCGGGGCACGGCGCGGCCACGGGGCGCGGGGCGACGCGGGCGGCCGGGCGTGGGGAGCGGTGAGGGAGAGGGCGTGCGGCCGCGGGCGGACGGGTGCGGGAGAGGGTGTGGGCGGCGGCGGCGGTTCTATGCTCGGGCGAGGGAAAAGCGAGAGAGAGGGATAGGAAGAGAGAAAGATTGGGGCCCATACGTAAGACAGGCTCAGCGCTAGGGTTACTGGCGCCAAGCTGCCTGTCATGTCACCGCCACATTGGGTTCGAGCCCAAGAGCTCGGTGCCAGGGACGCTGGCGCCGAGACGTGTTAGCTCGGCGCCAGCAACGATGGCGCCGAGCTAAGGGTCTAAATTTTAAAATCTTTCCTCTAGGGGCATATTTGTGAAATTTTTTCAAAAAAAGACTAAAAAAATAAAAAATTTGGAAGAAGAGACGGATTAATTATCATCATTTATTAAGACTATAAGCCAAATGAGATAAAAAAAATCGTCGTCAGAGGTAGTAGGTGGGGACATCGGGCTAGGACGAGGAGAGGGAGCGTTCGAATGGAACGGACGAGGTCCGGGAGCCGACCAATGAGCACCCGCGTCGTTGGCCTCCAAGTAACGTGCAACAACGCTGCGACGGACCGACGGTGAGCGTATGGCCTCACGTCTCTGCCGACGACGTGATCCGGGACGGTCTTCGTCAATCGTCAACGGGAAAAAAAAGAGTGACTTCAGCTTTAGATCTGGGTTGGACAAAGGCTAGGCTTCAACAGGCCAGGCCTCCAGAGAAAAGCAATTAAGAAAAAATAACAGATTTGCTATTCCACGACCAGTTGTTTTGTTTGCCTCTAACAACCGGATTTTCTTGCGTCCCATTTGACCCGTGCGGCCTGATCTGCCGCCCGATCTGGCCTCGTGAAGCGTGGGAGGCGCGGGCGGTGGCGCGCGCGACCGCCCTACTCCGTAGCCCATGCGTATGCAGCAGTTTGCAGAGGATGAGAGGAGACAGGAGGCAGGCGGCGCATGCAGCCTAGTCTGCAGAGGAGACCGTTGCATGGAGAGAGAGGAAGGACGTGGGGTCCATGCGTACGTGCGTGAGGAGGCAGACGGCGCATGCTGCCGTGCGCATCTTCAGAGTAATTTGCCATACGTGTATCTGACATCCGTGAACAATTTAACCTATATTTCTCTGACGTTGGAGTTCATAGAAATAATTTTAAACTTTTTTGAAAAATTTGGTATATATTTGTATTATTCCTAAATTACACCATTCCGTCTAATAAATTACACTAAAAAAATTTGTAAATATAATAATAAAGTGGTGTAAATATAGCTATGAGATAGTGTAAGTGTATAGAAAAAATCTGGTTGTTGAGAGAGGCTAAAACAACCACTTATTGGGTATACAGATTAAAAAATAATTAGTTAGATGAGCTGCTTTGAGACCCGTAAAAATTTTACAAAAGAGAAATATCGGAGCAATTCCCATTTATTAAATTTCAGTTACTCGACGTATCGGCATTTTGCTGCGGGGCCGGCCGCTGGCGAGAATCACCGCCGCGGGAGGATAAAACTTTGTAGATGGCGACGTAGGCCAGCACGGTGGTGGCCATGGCGAGCACGTACCAGGACGTGGCCCAGTCCCCTGCTGCTGCCGGTGGCGTAAGCCAGTAGGAGGCCAAGCAGGTCAAGCACGACCACCGTGTACATCGCCCCGACAGGCATGGGCAAGCCGGCCACCGGCAGCGCCCCCTGCATCAGCAGCGGAACGACCACGATGACGACGACGGATGCCACCAAGGACGCCGAGTTGCTGTAGAAGAACATGCGGTACCGGCGGGTGTCGGTGTCGCGGAGGACTGGGTCGCCTGCGGCGCCGTGTCCGGTACCGTCGGCCGGCCAAACGCCGCCCGGCGGGGTCAAGCCAGCCTGGTACGTGACGCTCGCGGCCAGGATCCCCAGCAGCATCAGGTACTTGCACATCCTGTACCGCTCACGGTACTCGACGCTGGCGGAGTGCTTGGATTTGGAGTCCCCGTTCCCGGTCTCTGTCTTGTGGTGGTTGTCCGATGGGCAGCAATGCCACCACCGCGGAATCCACCTCGGGACGTTGCGACAGTGGAGGATGGCGTGCAGGCCTGTGAAGACGAGCACCACGGCGACCAAGGCGACGACGAAGATGGACGACGCACGCACCGTCAGCATGGTGCTGGCAGTGTAGGCGCACATCAGGCCGATGAAGCCGGCGCCCATGCAGAAATAGAGCGCGGTCCAGTATCTTGTGCCTGTATTGGACAGGTTGCGGCTCAACAGGAAGACGGTGACGGCAACGGACGCCATGAAGCTTGTGGTATTGCTGTAGAAGAAGGCCTTGTACCGCCTCGGGTAGTTGTCGGCCAGGACCGGGTCGCCCACTTTGTGCTCTTCATCGCCGGAGCCGTGCTCCAGCCAGAACTTGCCGGGCGGAGTCAGCCCGGCTTGGTAGGTTATGGTGACGACCAAGATTGCAAGGAGCAACAGCAGCTTCCGCTTCTTCTCGAGCTCGACCTCCTCCTTGCTCACCGTCGTCACCGTAGAATCAGAAGAAGACTTTTCGATCACAACATGGATCACCACGTACACAAAGACGACAGCAGCCAAGGCGAAGACATAGACGGAGGTGCGTACATCCCGGCAGCTCCCGGCGCCGTACGCTCCCACGAGCGCCAACAGGTCGAGAATGACAGCGGCTTCCAGCGCGTGCCGGCCACCCTGGCTGACCAGCGACCTGCTCTGCACCATGATGACGACGACAATGGACGCCACGAAGGCAGCCGAGTTGCAGTAGATGAAGGCCTTGTACCGCCTCGTGTGCGTCTCGAGGAGGACCAGGCTGCCGCTGACGTGCCCGTCGCCGGTCTCCTTCCAGACTCCGCCGGGTGGGTTGAGACCAGCTTGGTACGTGACGGTCACCGTCAGAGTGGCAAGGAGTAGTATCAGAGACCGAGCCTTGTCCAGTGGATTCGTATCGGCTCACCGTTTCGCGACGCTCCGTCCGGTGGTCCTTCTCCTTCAGGAGCTTGTGATGCCAGTGTGCACTGGTTCTCGATGTAGGCGATGATGGATATGCACACGAGAACAGCACCGACCAAACAGAGGACGTAGACGCCGACGGCGGTGTCCGTCTCCCTGCAGCTCCCGTCTGCGTAGGCTCCCAGCAGGCCGATCGGTGCCACCGCGACGCACACGTACGGTGCGCTCAGGTGCCCGCTGACCTTGGAAAGCTGCCTGCTCAGGAGCAGCGTCATGGTGACGAGAGACGCGGCGAAGGCAGTGGTGTTGCAGACCAAGAACGCCAAGAAGCACCGCGCGTGGAGCTCCAGCAGGATGGGGTCTCCGGCGCGGTGGCCATGGTCATGCTCCCAGAAGCCACCCGGCGGGCTCAGCCCCGCCGTGTACGTGGCCGTCGTCGCGAATATGGAGACCAGCATCAGGATCTTGCACCCCTCGCGGTGGAGGTGCCTGCCTCTGCTACTTTTCTGGGTCCCGGCCGCCGCCTTCTTCCCGTAATGTTGCAGTCATATGGCCACCAGGAGGAGCAGGATCACGGCGGCGCTGAGTGCAGAGGCGACGACGGTGATGGCAGAGCACCTGCAGGCGCCGGTGACGTAGGCCACCATGAGGCAGACCAGGTCGAGCACCATGGCGACACGCACGGCCAGCAGCATGCGCATGGCGTCCTTCCTCAGGAACAGCAGGAGGACGATGATCACGAGCGACGCCGCGAACGCCGTGGCGTTCACGTGGTAGAACACCCTGTACCGGATGGGTCGGGTGTCGGGCAGGATCGGGTCGCCGGCGCGGTGGCCGGTCTCCAGCCACACGCCCCCCGGCGGGTCCATACCGGCCACATAGGTCACCGTCGCCACCAGGATGGCGAGTAGCAGGAGGTACTTGCGCATCTGCCATGTCCGGTCCTTGCTGCCGAACTCCGCCGCTTGCCCAGCGTTGCCATTCCCAATGGACGAAGGCATGGCGGGACGCAGTGCCTCTGTGGTAAATGAATGAATCAGGAGGCGCAAGTGTTCTTCGCCAATGTCAAGCAAACGGCCAGCTGTCTGATGATAAATAGCCCCGGTCACGTGATCACATCTCTGCAAAGCTTTTGGCATGGTCGCTTCGTTCTTCAAGTTGTGTTGGATTCGTTTGCCCGAAAATAGGTTAGGTGAGGAAGCGTCTGCACAGAATAAATTCCTTGTTGCCGGAGCGACGCCTTTCGTATATTATTCCTAAAATGTCGGGGAGTATTTGGTACTTCGTATACACGTGCAAGCTCCTACTAGCAAGTTAGTTATTGAAGTTAGAATGTGCTTAAACCCTAGCAGGCGACTTGGAACTTTTTTGCACTGTCGATGCATTTTAATTTGACATGCGTCTTTGTGCAACTGAAGAATGTTTTCTTTCTTTTGTGTGCCACATCCAACCATTGGACACTTTGTTTGTGGTTGGAATGGCTTTCCTAGTGCTAACCATACAATGATACAAGGGACGGTGTAAAGGTGTAGGTGTACTTTTAACAATCATGTGATATTGTGATGACCATGGCACATCAGGGACGCACAATTAAAAATTGATGACTCAGAAGGGAAAATATACTGTATTTTTCAGTAACATAGAGGGACGAGTATTACACTTTTGATTGCATAGATGGAATTTGCTCGTCTTTTTCCCCAATGAATTGGTGTGGCGATTCCCCCTCTTTGTTATTGTTATTGCTCCAATCCATGTTACACAAACGTATTGTCTTTAAATTTCACATTAACTTTCTTTTGAATCCAATTTCAAGTTCAATTAGGACAGAAATGCAATAAGTCTATTAGAATGGGAAAAGAAAACCCAGGGAGAACCATTTCAGCTTCATCATATTCCCATCGCCTATTCTGACCAAGGTTGCAAACGAAACTCACGAAATTTCTGACTAATAAATAAAGTTCATAATATGCAGTTTCTACCTTCTCAAAAATGCTTTTACTTGGAAGGTGCATGTGTAATGTCCGAAACTTTGCACTCTAGAGCTTAGACTTGGGGCAACTGGAGCTCCATACACTGATACACATCCACACACAAGGACACTCTCAACTCGAAGTCAAAAGATTTCAAGGCACCGACCTTATATACAACGGGTCAATGCAGGTTTGCACCAACCATGCCACATAACTTACTACTACATTTCAAGGCTAGTGTTCTGATAGCCAGCTGTTGAAGGCTGTTCATTTCTTCTAAAGAAAATAGAAAAGGGCGAAAGGTTCTTGGTTTCCGGATAAAGTTTGACAGCACAAACACGACACAAATACTACTAATGCAACCATGCAATCTTTGTGTTGTGTAAGTCCCAAAATAGCTGCCACCGGTTACCATATCCTGTGCAAAAAGATGCCCATCGATCAGGCTGTTCTAGCAAACAGTTCACGCTAGTTGTCTTCCTAGATGCGATCCAGCCAGCTGCCGAGGCTTTCCTGAGAACCAAACTGAATGTCCTGTCGCAATACGATAGAAATAACATTATCAGATTTGTCAGAGCAATTAGCAAACATACTGGCACCGAGAATACCAGAAGGATAAGCTTACAGCAAGCTGAAGATCTGAAGGCGTTCCAAGATCCACATTATGGAGATCAGGCAACCCGTATCCATTCAGGTTCCAATCAAGCATCTCATCCTTGCATTGGGACAGAATCGGATAGTCCCAGGGAAGCAATGCTTCGTCGTTTAAGGAATTTGGGTCTTCACGACAAAGAAGAGGTTCATCTGGGTTCGACTGAGCCCGAGATGCCTCTCCAACAACCTGCTGTTCTTGAGCTACAGCACACCATGCAGGGTTCATAGCATCATCCTCCAGGCTAACAATAGGCATGGTAGGCTCGCCTTCGCCGTCCAGTAGTAGCTGTATCGAAACTACAAACTTAGCACTGGAAATGGTCATGAAACATGATTATGGCAATGCACCAGCGGGAAGGGAATTTGCTCTGATATAGATTATAGCCTGGCCTTCTTGGCCCATCTAAGTGCAATTACGATGCAAGCATGTAAGATTTTATCTAACATGCCAAAAAGATTAGTGCACATATTTCTAGGATGCTCTCATCTCTATCAATGAAATAGGCACACTCTCATGCCCCTTCATTCCAGAAATATATATTTCCAGGATACTGATACTCTGATAGAGATTATGTACTTCAACAAAAAAGATTATACAAACTCTTAAGTCTATCAATAAACTATTGCTAATGTTTTTTGGAGCTGATTTTGAAACATGGAGGGTTAATATGTCTGTCAGATCTTAGTGGGAGGTAATAGAGATTCTAAGACAAAAGCTAAGTGCATATCAGTTTCAATTCTCTTCATATGCCTACTTGTGTAATTTTCGACAACTTGTTTATGCTCTGGTCTAGCAATTTTTCGTACATCACTGTGATCCCAAAAGAAGTTTAATGAGTTACCTGATCCTGCAGGATGGGAATATTCTGCTCAGTTTCACATGGACTATTTTTAGGATGGCGTGGCTTCCGTGTGATTGTCTTTGGAGTTTTCGGACCAATCACTGAAGCAGGTGCATCAGGTTCCTCATAAGCAGTTTCTGTTTCAGAAATTTCCATACTCTTATTTGGCAACTGGCAGAAGATTTTAGATACTACAAGCTCCCCGTCGTTTTCGTTTTCCTCTTCTCCAAGGTGATACTGATGCATTACCCAATTAGCTCTATCAGGCTTTCCACCTCTTTGCGAAGTTTTGTACAGCACCAGTATCTTCTTCCAACCTTTTATAACACCATTGTCATATATGGCTTTGGATCTCCCTGTTTTGTGCCATCTCACATGCTCATCAGGAACAGTGTGATCACTGCAGTTGATGATCCTTCGACGCTTGCGCTGGCCACAACCATACGCGTTTGAAGCTCTATGGAAGAAATGAGCATTGCTACCATCTGTTTTCATACCTACGAGGTCAACAAAAACAAAATTCAGAATGTGAATGTAACAACAGATTCATAAGGAACTACACCATCTCATGACATAACTATATACCAGGAAGATTTTCAGGATGTGAATAGCAGATTCCCTCATCATTGTCTATAGTTGGAATAAATTCATCAATGAGCACATGTGGTCTTGAACCTCCCAGACCAACTTTTTGTTCTAAATGTTCCAGCAACTCCAGTTCAGAAGGATCAAACTTGACTCCAGCAGGCAGCCCAGGCCACTGCATGGCAACCTGCAGAATTTGAAATGCAGGAAAAACTTGCTCAGATATGTAACATCTACAGCTGAATATGACCTGAAAGCCAAATACCCATTCTCCAACAATCTAAACAGAACAAATGTACTTACATCGCTGTTATCAATAACATAACTGCAGTTTGGGCATTCCCTCCGTGCTTCTGCAATCAGTTCACTTATTTGGCGACTAGCGCTAGGAACTGCGTATCTTATTTTCTTAGCAATTCCCCTACCAGTTATCAGCCATGACCTGTACCAAAAGGAGCATATTGGTGCCGGTCCCAAAAGAAGTACTCGTACAAGATAATTTGAAGACAAACATGCTCAAATAGTTAAAATTCATGTATTTTTAAGCTAGTATCTATGTGTAACAAAAACAGACTGATTTGATGCCCCGTCCTTGAAAATAAAACCCTGGCAAGACCAATTGGTCGCTGGACTCCAGTGGCAAATCATAGACTGAACAACAGAACATTAACACTACTAAACCTTATCTTAAAAGTTGTAACCACAGGAAACAAACCTAGCAAAAATGTTTTGTCACACATCAGGGCAGAGCATATGCTCTGTTTCTCTGCTCCTTTTCTTTTGTTTCTTATCCCCAATCTGGGCATGACTGCAAAACTGATCGTGATATATTTTGACTCGAAGCAGTGTGCTAGTGCAATACAAGTAATTGTAATCCAGGGTCTTTTGAAGCTAATGCTACACATCGGTCATCGGTACTACCCTGTTGCGATTCGAATACAATGCAAACTTCTGTAATTCCGATTATCGAAAAACCCGGTTTCGCTCACAAGCCACAGCACCGGCCAAGGCAAATCCGACATGGGAACTAGCAAATCATCCAGTCCGATCCAAATGACAGGCAACGCGTGCGGACGTGAGGGGTGTAGAAGAACTGAAGAGGAAACCCTCGCAGCACTAAACCCGCCCCCAACCAAACCTGATGCCCACGAGGAAATCACGAACTAAGCAAAGCCCTAAGCCCCTAACGACGACGATGTCGAGAGAGAGAGAGAGAGAGAGAGGAAAAACACGAGGAGGATGACTAGTACCTTGCCATGGTGGCGCGCGCCGCGCGGGGTCCGACCACGCCTGCGTAGGCGGAGAGGAACGCCGCGCCGAGGAGGCGGCGGCGGCGGCGGCGCCTACTGGCTACCGCTCCCCCCGGTCCCGGTTGCGTGCGCGGCAGGATTAGACGACCCCCACGACCGCGCGCCGACCAATTATAATTATAACACCTCCCAGTCTCCCACTCCCACTCGGAAATCGGAAGGCGGGAAAGCTCGCGGCACGGCGGGAACCGGGAAGGGCGGTGGTGTGCTCGCGTCGCGCTCGCGGGCCGGGAGACGCGGAGCCTGTCTGGTCGTCCTGCTCCTGGCCCCCCTGCCCTGGTTGTTTCTCACTCTCTGTTCCCGAGCTCGCCTTTTTGTCTCGGGAACCCAATCGCTGCTGCTGCCCTCGCAGTAACGCGGCGGGCGACCGTTGCAGCTTCCTTCGCCCCGACCCTTTCCTTCCTTCGCAAGCCGCGCACGCGAACCGAGAGCGCTCGCTCGCTCGTCTCGTTCGTTCCTTGCTGCTTCATCGCGGTGGGCGCGAGGCCCATGTCCATGCCACGACGCCGCTCCCGCGAGCCCAGCGTCCGTCAAAGAATGGGCCGGATCGGCCCAGATTGCGCGCGTGAGGCGAGGCTACCGCTAGCCCGTTTTCCTTTCCCTCCTCGGCAACGTTTATTATTGGGCCGAAATATGCAACACCCATTCTGCGTCCGCGTCGTGGGCTCCTCGATGGAGAGAGAGAGGCGACACCATGACTGGATGCTCACTCCGGTCCGGTCGTTTCTTTGCCTTTTTTTTTTAGAGAAAACTGAGAACGCTGACCTCATTTGTGAATTGTGATTTGTCACGTGCTATTACTGTTACTACGGTACAAGCGTGGCAGAGTCCATTCACAAGTGAAAAAAAAAAGTGAGCCACCACCTGCCATCTTTTCGGTATGACTTGTCGCGCACAGATCTGCTTCCTCCACCAAGTTTTCACTGCACCCTCCGTTAAAAAAAACATAATTCTAACTTTAAAATTAGAATCATGTTTTTTTTTCTGGACGGAGGAAGTACATCCTTGTCTTCACCTCGATGCCTTGCCCTGGTCGGTTCAACAGCGTAGCAAAACAGTGTTCAGTTACAGTAGGTTTGAACTTTGAAGGGACGTTCAAACGGATGGTCGCAAAGTTAGCTACATGCCTCGCTCTACTTGTCCACCTCAACAAAGCATTGCACCATAAAATAAAAAGGGTAATGCTCTGAATTAGGCGTCTGTTCGTCTAGATGCTTCGTTACTGAGCCACGACGCAGCCTAAAAACCCACACTTCTTTGTTTCTAAAAAAAACTGCTCATCAACTTATTTCTATCCACTCGTTTCTCTTCCTATCGCTCTTATTTGCTTGTCTGCCACCTCCGAGCGCACGACTGCTGGCCCTTTGAGGCGCAGCGCGCGGCCACCTCCGAGGCGCACCTCTCGGGCGCTGGCCTTGCCTAGCACAGCGCGCGCCCGCATCCGAGGCGCGACGCTCGGCTTCCGGCCCTGCCAGACGCGGCGCACTGCTGCCCTCTCCAAGTCGCGCGGATGCGCGCTCGACTGCTGGCCTTGCAGACGTGGCGCGCTACTGCCCTCTCCAGGTCGCGCGGCCGCAACTTCCTCGCCGCTCATGCGGTCGATGCCTCCCTTCCGTGACGTGCAGCCACTATCGCTGGCCTGTCGTGTACAAGTGTTGTCAGGCCACTACCTTCAGTGAACACCAGACAACGATGAGCCTCCATTCTGCCGAGTAGCAAGGAGATGTTGCATTGAAAGCGCATGTTGCAAAAGTATGTTTTAATTGTTTCAGAGGTATGTTGTAAGTGTTTCATATGGATGTTGCAAAAATAGATCGTGATGTTGCACATGTTGCAATGGTTGTACACGTATGTTGCAAGCGTTCGTTCCAAATGTTTCATCTACTTTTTTAGACGTATGTTGCATGTCTGCTTATTTGGATGTTGCGTATGTTTCACACATATGTTGCAAGAGTATGTTCGAAATATTTTACCTATTTCAATCTTATGTTGCAATAAATGTTTGGATGTTCGAAATGTTGCATTCAAGTGTTTCATGTTGCAAGTGTTGCGTGTTTCAGAGGTATGTTCAAAGACTCATGGGGGCACGGCCAGGACGCCGGAGGAAGGGACGCGGCGAGCCGGGGGCCGATGGATGGGGCGCCCAGCGCGTTTGGGGTCTTGCGGACGGGGCGTGCTCGTCCTCATCCCGACTCCCGGGTCCCGCCCGCGTGGAGAGAGATGAGGGTATCAGGGGGAAGGAGCGGCGGGCATGGGGCGGGGCGAGACGGATGGGGGCGGGGTATGCGTGCGTGGCGGGATGAGGCAGACGGGGAAGAACATCAGTGATACGGTAGGAGTGCGGCACATTTCTGTTGGGCCGTTCGGTACCGTCCGATGGAATCATATCCCATCGGATCGGTCCCGGCCCTGGGACGGGCGAGCCGGGCGACCGCCCCGGCCCCGAGCCATCAGGACCCCACCCCTGTATGTATAGGGTGTAGGTCCGTAGTAGTAGTATGTTGGAGTTGGCCTGGAGCTTGGCTGAAGTGCGCTATGTTGATCCCTACGATTGGCATATGAGTGCACTACATTCTGTTTTTTTTTGGGTGCCCTGCAGCTGTAGGGCTTCGAGGGTAAATATGCTTTGCGCTACTTTTCAATCGCTAAATGTATTTTAAAAATTCCAGCACATGCCTTCTAGAAATGATGCCGTTAGTAGTTAAAAAATAAAAAGAAGGAAACGAGTGATCACACAGAGCACGCATCCGACGTTTTTTTTTTAGAAAATAATATGAACACAGGGGAAATATAGATGAATTAGTAATTATTGGCTGATGTTGCGTTGTTAAAAAAAATCCCCTCGCCGGTAAAAGCTAGGGTTCCGGGTTTTTCTCAGCTAGCATGGTTAAGGTCTTCTACCTTAATTACAATGCCTCGGAGGAGGTTATACCCTGGTCGAGTTTTTTTTATTGCGCATAGGAGCAAATAAATACTACTAATCCCGATAGCAAGGCTTTACGGTAAATAATAATTTGGACATCGATGAGGATGATAACCAGTATGTGACCAGATTTTTTGTTTTTGAAAATGTATGGTGCAAGGAGAATAGGTAATGCATGCTAGGTAATTACTCTTAGCTTAACATCCAAACTAATAAAAGCGATAACATGTACTCGCTCTGTCCGAAAATAAATGCACATCTCGCTTTCTGAGAAGTCAAACTTTTTTAAAGTTTGACCAAATATATATATAAATATACTAATATTTATGATGTATATTAAGTATAATTAGATTAAGCTTGTACCTTCCTAATAAATTTATTTGAAAATATAAATGTTGATATAGAGAATACATATGTTCTAAGAGGCCTCAATTTTTAGTCTTGCACTGGGCCCCTAAAATCACAAGGCCGGCACTGCATCGGACGTCCGGACGTCAGTATTTCCAAGATAAAAAGGCTCACGTGACGAACGGGGAAAAAGATGGACTACCATCGCCGGTTCCAGTCGCGCCGCACCAACCGATACTGCGTGGGCACGATGGTCGTGCGGTTGAACGACTCCAGTAGCCGGTCAACACTCTCAAGCGATTCATAAATGCACATAAAAAATGAAACGCTGCAGGCTTAAGCTGAACGCACAACTAACAGTAGCTAATAGTACCAGCATCACACAAGTGCCCCTCTTGCAAAAAAGAAAGAAAATAACAGTTAGCTCTGTTCACTTGACTGATAAGTTATGACTGAAAGTACTGTTAGCTAATTTATTGTGAGAGAAAAATATCATTGGTTGCCTGAAAAAGTCCTTATAAGCCCAGCAAACCGGGCGAGTACTAGTGCGTAGCTGCCTGTCCTCTCCCACAAATTCCCCACGCGAATCATACAGCTATGGTGGTGGCCAGTATAGTTTTCTGAAACTTTCTACTGCAGAATCGGCCAAATAAGAGCGGCCACATGATGGCGTAAGTGGTAGCTGTAGCTGTCATAAGTTTCGCTGCTTGGTCCTTGCCACGAGCGCCATGGCAACCCACCCACGGCCACGGGTGGGCGCTGCAATCAACGCAGCAGTGGTCGCCGCAGTACGACTCCGTGATGGAACGTTAGTTGGAACTTTTTTACAGTGCAGGTTGGAAGCTGCCCGCTAGCAACGGAGCCATTTTTTTATTTTCGTGTTGTGCCACACGTAGCATGACGACCGAGCGTGGGCGTGCCGTGCGGACGAGTCAAACCAAACGCTATCTGCGGCGACGAGGAGCGAGATCCGACCGGACCGATGGGGACCCGACACGGCGACACGGCCGTACGCGCGTTTGCCTTGCCCCGAAGGACCTGAGAGAGACGAAGCGATCGTCGACGGAGCCAGGTCAAGCATGGCAGCGACGCCACATCTGTACTGTGCCCCCGCGCCGTACGCGTCCCCAGGTCACTTGTACGCGTGGATAGATGGCCTAGGATCTTACCAGTACATCCCCGGAAAAATCTGCGGATGACGGCGCGAGCAACTGCAACTAGCTCGGCTCCGGCCAGCGCATCAAATATCTTGCGCCTGTAGTGTACAGTAGCACGGGACACCGCAACGCTCGGCCGGCTTGAAAAACTCACAGCCAAGCTGAGGATTACTGCATTATATCACTGGAAATGGAACCATCAACCATCACGCTCAGGCCGGAACACTGTTGTTCCTCTTGGTTACAAAAATCAACCATCACGCTCTAGCTCCACGTCATGCCGCGGAAACAAGTTCAAGTAGCCCATGCCCAATCTTACGTGTCCCCGTGGTATTGGCCTGACCCTGAGATGGTTTTGAAGGGGGTTTTCTCCTTGTAATTTATTAAATTACGGGTCTAGGCCCACCTGTCAGTGACCTAAGACGTCATAATCGCAGAAGAGACTTATCCAATATGGAGCACAAACCCTTTTGGTCTGAAAGAATCGAAACCTTTGATAATCTCCCTCAGCTGGACCGCTGGACCACTGTTGAGGAACGTGTAATGCAGGCACAGGGCACAGCGAGTCAGCAGCAAGATGCGTAGGGCCGCACCCGCACCACAGGAAGGCTGTTTCCAGGGCTACAAGCCACACGACCAGCCAATTCGCAGCATTGTTTGTCAATCTGGCTGAAGTGGACGCCCGACAACAACAGCCTGTTCCCACCAGCCCAGCTCCATCCAGGCACACACACACATGCCCCGCCTCTCACGGCACGGGTCGCTCGCTCAGCACAATCAAACAAACAAATCCTTCGCAAATGCACAAACCTCTGTCTCAAGATGGATATTGGATTACCCAACTTCAACCTGCCAAACTGGACAGGATTGGCACTATGCATATCTTACCAACCAGCAACGACCATAAAAAGAGCACCTTTTTTCGCTTGGAGATCAACCAGCTTGCCTTTATGTGGGACCAGAGTTTGAATTGGGAGACATCAGTAAGAATCGTTTACATCACGGCGTTTTGAATAACAGCAAACAGATGACGTCCCAGAGAATTATTATGATACAGAGCCGCTGTCAATCAATAATCAGAAACTGGAATGAAAGCATATACTGTCTGACTCAGGTAACTAGGGTAAGTGAATGGCAATGTACATCACAAGGCGAGAGCAAAGAAAAAGGAAAGAATCTGAATGTCGCTCGGTATGAGTTCTACAGTAATTTTGAGTTCATATATCAATCATGGAAGCAATGAATAAAAACTCAGTTGGTATAAAAGCACACACACACTGCTGAGCTCCTCTGCAAAACAAGAACGCAGCCGCGATCAAAGCATGCCCTATGCTGCTGTCAGGCCTTCCATGGTTTCAATTACACGGTACAAAATCTCAATATGAACTCAACCCCACCAGCCAAGCGATCACTCAACTAAGTCAGCCAATCGTATCAGATACAACCCCGCCACGGCAGGGCGCTCCTCCAGTGCGGGGGACAGACATCCGCGAGCGATGTCCGTGCGCCTCAGGTCATGTTGCATACAGTAGTAGCTGCCTAGCCACTCTCTCTGACGCAGTTGCCTGGAAGAAGATATCTGTACAGATCGTTTTGCTCCAGCAGATAGGCAGGGAGATGAACAGCAGAGAATGTACTTGGAATAGGCCCCAGCTTGGCAATGATCTCTTGGAATGTGTATTCTTCAGGAAGCATGTCGAAAAGATCAGCACCTTCGCAAATCACGTGCTGAATCCTCTTTGGGTTTAGGAAGTACTTGAATCTGATCCGATCAACGTGGCTGTAGGCTTTCATCTTGAAGATGAAATCATTTATGTAGCGGAAGCAGAAGCTGCAGTGCCACCCTGAATCAGCCAGAAGTTCATCTGTTTGCCGGAAATGTGCATACCTCGTCTTTCCAGCTCTGTATCTGTGTACTGAAGCCCTCCAGCTCTTGTCATCAAGTAAAAACTGGAATGAGTAGAGATAGTTCCTGAGCTGGAGATGGAGTATCTCAGGAATGTCATCGCACCATCTCAGGAGGTTGATGGTATGACCACTTGGGATCTCATCAACATCAGACATGATCAACAGGTCATCATCCGTGATGCCTGCAATCTTAATGAGCTGGTCAAGAGCAACCCTTTGATATGATTCCTCAACAAATGGGTTTTCTCCCTTCACAAACCTTCCACCTATCATACCATAGGTCAACCGTGATTCAGCGAAGTCAAACCGCTGGCGGTTTTCCTTGAAGTGAAGGTCCTTCTTTATGCCAGTGAAGGTTGAATTGGACTCAAGCAGCACAAATTCTGACACATACGGGCTAAGCTCGTGCCAACGGATATCAAGAATGTCAAGCTCATTGCTGAAGAGCACAGCATCAAAGACACGGCGTGGAGTCTCCCTGACTTTCCATCCATGCAACTTGCAGAGGTTGTCCATCGAGACATTTTCATGATAGTAGTGAGGGAGTATTGTGAAGGGCTTCGGGGGCTTTTCCCAGATTGGTCGGAGGAAGTAAGTCACCTTCTGGCCATGCACATATATGGCAAAGATCAGAATTGGCACACCAATCAGTAGAATCAAGAGAACCCTCAGATCAAATCCCCGCAGTGCGCACTTCAGCCTTGACATGCTCAGGACTGACTTTGAACCAAGCTGCAAATAATATCAGGGAGCAAATAAGAAATCAGCATGCACCAATACACATCAGAACAAGGCACAAATTAAAATAAAAGTTTGACTGGAGAGCTACAAGATGCGACTGTTACAATGAACTGTATTCTGAAACAGCACTGATCATTCCATAATCAAGAGTCAGGAGATCACTATTGCAGCAGGAAACCACGGAAGTTTAAAAAACGATGAAACCTAGTGCGTTGCAGCCAGAGGCATTGGCAAAAAAAAAAAAGGGGGGGTATTAATTTTACTAAACATGAGAATGCCAAATAAATAGGCTACATGAGCGTATGACCATTTGCTGGTAGACAGATAAAAAATTGGACACCCTACTGACATAGCACCATGCCACCATGAAGCCAACGGCTGAACATAGGGAACATCACAGCCATCACAAACTACTGTAGGTTGAGAGCACGAGCTTCTAAAATATCCGCCGCGCCGTGAGTGTGCAGCTACAAATAGATCTCATATGGATATCCGGAGAGAGAATACTCACATTTCAGGTACGCCTCTCTGACACCAAAATATGTCTATGTCGGTCTCCGATTGGATATAAGAAGTAACCGGTGGTCTGGTGGAATATGCGCATTTTCTCTTTTAAAAATAATAATTATCTCTATCAGTGATAGGCTGGCGCGGATCCACCAACAGGAAAGCAAACAGCTAATTATATTTTTATATTTTATTTAATAATAATATAAAGGAAGGAAAGAACAGCCTGTAAAATTACTTTTGCGGCATGAACCTCACCATCTACTGCACGGGAACCAATCGGGAATTGTTCAAAAAAGCAGGGAACTTCTACAGGGAAAGGAAAGACAGATTCCGGGACTGTGCCGGACGACCCGGTTCATCCAGGTGGGAGAGATTCTAGCGCAACCGGAAGCATCCAGGCGCCCCAGTTTCTTTCTTTTGCATCACCTAATCCCCCAGCACCCGCGGCAGACGAAAGGTGCCTGCCGCGGAAGCAATTAAGCGAGCACATATGCAATCCCGCAGGCAGAGGAAATCTCGAGGGTACCCCAATCCACAACAGGAACCCGCTGCTGCGATTGGCAAAATAGCTGCGCGAACACGAGCAATTGGAGAGCGATCAAAAGGTCGAGGCAAGCAAGCAAGCGGCTCAGCGTGGAGCGAAAACGCGTTTAAGCAGCGTGGAATAGGAAAAGACAGGCACCGCCACGACCGTGTGGCTGGCTCCCCCGGCGGACCCGGCGATCCGCTGGGGAGTCCACGCGGGCGTTGGTCGAGAAAGGGACAGATCTGTGTGGCTGGAGAGCCGGAGCGGGGCCTCACCTCGCTGTCGCAGACGCCCTCGCAGATGCCGTCGTTCTTCTTGCGGTTGCAGTAGCCGGTCTCCATGGCGCCGAGGACGCAGGAGAATCACAGACAGACAAGCAGGAGCCTGCCGAAAGGCGCAGAGCACCACGCCCGCCGCCGCGGCCGGGAGGGGAGCGGAGCGTGTCAAGACGGCACGCGCGTGCCGCTTCCCAGCGCGGGCCCAATGGCGCGCACGATCGGCTCCTCCGCCCTCTCCCCGGTCGCCGGGAGCAGAGCCCGAACCTCGCCGCCGGCAGCCGCAGGCGCCGGGCCGGTGGCTGTGTGCGCGTCCTCGCCCTCGAGGGGTCCGCGCGTTCGCGTCTCGGTCCGGGCTTCCTCTCCTCCCTCCTTTGCGAGCGTGAGCGTGGGCGAGACGCGGGGCGCGGTGGTGATTTCGGGGAAGCGGCTGGGGGTGGGAGCGCAAAGGGTAACGGTGCGAGGAGGGGTCGAAGAGGGGAATTGCTGAGATGCGATGCGAGACGAGGGGATTCCGGCAACCGTCTAATTATAGCCGTTTGGGGTGGGGTGGTGCCGTGGTGGCCTGCTTCTTGCGCGTGGGCGTGGGCGCGTGGCAGTGGCTCGCTGGCCGAGGAGGAGGGGAGACCCGGGACGGGCGAGAGGTGCGGCGGACAGCTGGGCCTCGTTTAGACTTAGGGTTTAGAATCAGTAGTTGGCATCGTAGTATTTTCGTTTATATTTGATAATTATTGTTTAATTATGGTTTAACTAGGTTTAAAAAATTCGTCTCGTAATTTACAATCAAATTGTATAATTAGTTATTTTTTTATCTATATTTGATACTCTATATACATGTGTCTAAAAATTTAATGTGATGAAAAGAGAGTGGAAAAACTTACAATCTAAACAAGCCCGGGTCTTTGTTCGTCCTCGTGCTGGGGGCATCGGCCATCTTGCTTATTAAAGAGTATAGTTTACGGTCAGTCCTCGAACCAGTCAGGGGTGTTTAACTTTGTTTGGATCTTAAACGGGTTTGGATTCGTGCCCATGTAACGAGATAAGACTTGATGGTTCGAAAGAGAAGATTAGGAGGGATTATATATAAAATCACATAGACACGAAAATTATACAAATATATTTATAAAATTCATGAGGGGTTGATTTGGAAACAGTCGTCTTCTTCCTCACGCTGCGGCTGCTGGCCCGCTTGTGCGCGGCGGCGGCGGCGAGTCGCCCGCGCGCCGTATGCAGAAGCTGCGGCAACGGCAGCGGCAGCGGTGGCGTCTGCTGCTCGCCCGGCGGCGGCGGCGGCTCGCCCGTGCCTGGGCGCGGCGGCTGCTGCTGCTTGTCGTCTCCGTGGACCGCAGCTGTGACCACGGCGAGCTTCCCTAGGGCACGCACCTGTTCCTACGGATGCAAGCAGGCGCTCTGCGGGCGGCCCGCACTCCGCCGCAACGGTCGCATGCCGAAGACGCGATCCGGTCGATCGATGGCGTCGGAGCTCGGACGCGGCCGTGTGGAGCACGCTGCTCTCTGGTCTCGGCTACACGGCGACGCCGTTGCGTGTGCACGCGGCGAGCGAGGCCATGCGGTGCGATCCGCGCGAAAGCAGCGCGTACGTGCTTGCGGCTAGCGTGCTGGCATGCGTCGGGAACAGGAAGGAGGCACGCAGCGATGTGGGCACTGCGCAGTAAGCAGCTTGAGCACCCAGCGGCCGGATGCAGCAGGTTGCAGGCGATATGGGCACCTGCAGTTGGCACCGAGGACGTAGTCCGCCTGAGCACGCGCCAGCTCCAGCAGCTCGCCGGCGCGCACTGGCCCGTCGGGGCATTGGACCAGGCACGGGCGAGCAGCAGCGGATAGGGCGCGCCCCGCCGCCGCCACAGCGCAGTGCCACCGGCGCATGGGCAAGCCGCTGCTGCCGCAGCTGGAGCAAATAACGGCACGTCGGCGAGCTGACCGTGGAGGTGGGAGATAAGAGACAGAGCTGACTTGCGGGCTCAAGATCCGTTTGGATGAGTTTAAGGATAAAAATAACAATTTTATAGTTCATAGTACCGAGATGACATATTCCTATAAACTTGAAGACCAGTCATAAACTTTACTCCTTATTAAAAGGCGCTGATGAGACCTAAACACAAGACCGTGTCGTGTTAGGCCCATTTCTTTAATTAATAAATCAGATACTATAAAAATATATTATGTTAAATTCAAAATACCTATTTGAGGATGTTTTTAAATAAATCCCTTACCTCTTTGGCTCTTTTGTTTATCTTTTTGGTTTGGCTGTTTCGGTTAGGAGAGGTTGGTGTGAATGTGGCCATGTTTGGGGTTTGGCCGTTGCCGTTTGGGCAGCAGGCTCCAGCTCACGCTCGTCAGCCTGTTGTTCAGGTTGGATTTGGAGCTGAGATGATGGTGATGAGGAGGATCCCCTCTAAGATGAGATTGTAATGATAGGGGCATCTCACTCGGCTCTGGCTGCAGGATGCGTCGTGTAAGCTGATGATGTGCTTTGCCTGTAGTACGAGTATTATCTTTTGTCACTTCCCTTTTTTCCCTTTCTTTTGATAAGAGGCTGTATGATCAAATGATGATGGATCATGTGAACTACCGTGTGTGGTCTTTTTCTCCGCGTACGATGTCTTTATCCTGTGAGGCTGTGACTTTCCATTCACGCAGTTTACAGGATGGCAGTATATTTATGTATAGAACTTCGTATGAAAATGTAGTGGATGGAGTAGCAAAGGACACAAATTGGTTCCCAGCATTTACTCTCCTTTTATTTTGGTTTTTTTTTTGCTTCGTGTTAGCTGTTAAATCCATTAGGGCAAGACAACGTTTGCATACTAAAAACTACTACTACTTGACAGGCGGCGGCAGTACAAAATAATAATTGGATATTTTGCACCACATGTCTCGGGAGAAAATTTCTGTTTGATATTTCTATTTACGGTCATGTATCATAAAATTAGTTGCTCGTTTGAAACTCGTTATTTAGCTAAATCAAGAAAATCTCCATTGAACAAGTCTTTCAGAAAGGCAGTCAATAGAAACGCTTTTTTGAGTTGCGTCTTAGCTTTGCATTTTCTGAAAGAGGAATCTGTCAAGACTGCCTTTTGGTGTCGTGTTTGAGCGAAGGAACATTAGAGATGGGCGCCAAGTACACCTCAAACCCAGCGAAAACTAGCCAAGTAAGCGAACCTGTTCCTGCTGTGGGCTGGGCGGCTGGCCTCTATACGTATTATTATGCCAGTTCATTTCAAGTATGTTCAAAAGCACAAGCATTATCTTCAAAACAAAGGCCATAATAATATGGCAGAGACGTTCTTTGGTAGCAAAACCACACTATTGAAACCCTCTGATGAGAGTCCTCTAGACCCAAGCGCTCTTTTGTTAAACAAAAATAATATTGCTCGTTTTTTAATAACATCCATTGGAAGGTAGAGTTTTATCAGGTAGGTATCTAGCACACCAGCAAATTACATTTTTTTTGCTAGTGCACTTTCTTATTTTAGAAATTTTAAATATTTTTTTTCTTGACAACTACTTCCTTGTCCAGTAAATAATGCTATTATAGTATAGGACCAAGTCAAACCATTTTGAGTCTGATCAAATAAAAAAAAAAGCGATATCTATGATACCAAATTGCTCCTTATATTCTAAATTATAAAAAAAATTAGCTTATCTATGCACTTAGAAATACACTGTATCTAGAAAGTCAAAACGTCTTATAATTTGAGACCGGAGAAGTATGTTACTCCCCTGTCCCAAAAAGCTTGTAAATCTCATTTTTCAAGGAAGTGTGAAATTACACATGTACCCCTCCTATATCCTTCTCCCCACACACCAAAGCTCAAAAGCAATTGAACTATTTAGAGTATTGCTTGATTTTCTAATTGTATGTGGTGCATTTTTATTAGTAGGTCCTACCTAGAAAGCTCATCTCCAAACCACAGGATCCTACCTAGAAAGTCCATCTCCCAAAAATGTATATTTATTTTGAGATAAGATTTAAACCACATGATCACATTCTTTTTTGGGATGGGGGAGTATTAGATTAGTTATGGAATAGTATATGTTTATTAGTATTGTTGTTTTGTATTATATAAATATTTATACTATTTTTTTATAAAATTTGTCGAACTTGAAAAATTAGATTAAAAATAGAGTTAGAATTGCACCATAGTCAGGTCGTGAATCAGTTCAGTTTTCTGTAAAAGACGCAGAAATAAGAAAAAAAATGTGTGTAGAAAAAAGGAATAAACTTGGCGGAGGACAGGAGGCCAATGAATGAAAAGCAAAGCAAGCAGCTCGAATCCTCGATCCATCCGGCAAACGCCCAGGCTTCCCAGCGTATGCCGGCATCCACTGTCCCCGGCGGCCAGACTCGTGGTGGTCGTTGTCGGGGACAGTATTTCAAAGAAGTGGCCAGAACAGCACGTTCGGCTACGTATTTCGGGGAAAAAGAGAGAGGCGCTTTTTGCCGGACGCGGATTCAGTGAGAGTCACAACGTAAGGCCCTCTTTACTTCCAAAAAATTTCACCCCAAAGTGTCACATTAAATCTTGCGACATATACATAAAATATTAAATATAAACAAAAATAATAATAATTGCACAGTTTGGTTGAAAATCGCGAGACGAATGTTTTAAGCCTAATTAGACCATAATTAGCCATAAGTGCTACAGTAACCGACATGCACTAATGATGGATTAATTAGTCTTACTAAATTTGTCTCGTAGTTTCCAGACGAGCTATATAATTAGTTTTTTTATGAGTATCCGAAAACCCTTTCCGACATCGCCCGAAACATCTGATGTGACATCCAAAAATTTTCATTTCGCGAACTAAACACACCCTAACTTTCGCATCATCCCAGCCCTCCAAGTGTCAGTGCCCAGTGTAAGTTAAAGCTTCTGGCACGCATGACTGCATGAGTACGCCCGTTTGGCCGTCTTCACCCTCTCAGGCGACCGTCAGTGACCCATTTAAAGGCTTAGCGTCTAAACAAGTTGCCCGTTGGAACCGCCAGGCAAGTACAGGGTAGAGCCATATGGCAGCTACCAACCAAACGCGTCTTCCAA